ATTTGCAATGTAAGGCTAAAAGCTCAGCAGAAATCAGTTTATTCTTAAGCACAAAAACATCCAGACTAAAAAAACATTTATAAATAAACAGCACCTTCACCATCTATATGAATGAATCCAAAATACACACTCATATGCCAAATTTTTGTTTGTTTTTTACTTTACATTTACTCTGATGAAATATATTTTACATGTTTAAAAAAATGGATCCATGAAACCTTTTCATGGTTGTAAAAAGGCTGCTTTTTATCATATTATTTAACAAGTAAAGTTATATTATATTATAATGCTGCAAATTATTGTAAATTAACTATCTATATTAGCAGTAAATTACTTATCTAGTAAAGAAAAAGATACTGTCATTTTATTTATTTTTGTCATTAGCAAAACTGAAGAGACTGATCAAATAAAAGACAAATTAACAAAAATGTACTATTGTTTCATTAGTATTTGAATTTAATATGTTTATTTATAATGTAATATATGCTTATTGAAATGTTTATTATAATGTATTTTTATGTTCATGTTATTATCATTACTTTAAGAAAAATCATTGGTGTTAGACAAAAGAAAATATTTAATTGACAATCAAATATATAGAACAAATATATATATATATATATATATATATATATATATATATATATATATATATATATATATATATATATATATATATATATATATATGTATGGAAATTCCAATAAATTAAGTCAAAATGCCCAAAATGATTTTAAAATCATAGAAGACAAAGTGAAATTCTACTAAAAATAAATTTGAATCTCCATTAAACTTTTTAAATTCTATAGGACAAACTGAAAATCCAATAAAAAATTCTGAATGTCCATTAGAATTTTAGAAATCCATTAGGATCTTATAGGATGCTAAAGGATTAACTGAAATTCCAAAAGGATTTTTTGACAATGATAAAACTATACATGCATGTTATGTACAGTAGATTAATTTCTGATTATTATTTTTTTTTTACTGCTATCATTATTTCAAAAAAGCGGAGGCCACAAAAATTTGGATTTAAGTAAGAAATCTTACCTGAAAGCTTACCTTTGCTGAATGATCAAATGACCTGACTTTTGCAACTTTGTGCTGAACAGTGGAGTAATAGGCCAGTTTTGTCAAAGAGCCACCTGTCAGATAAGGCAAAAAGGTGTATATACTATCTTTTTCTACACACACTTCCTTACCTAATACAATTATAACTTAATTATGTTATACAACGATAGCATTAGTGGTTGCCTGCGTTCATGAGAACAGAACAATTAAGATGTAACGTACTCTAGTTCCAGCAGAGTACACAAACCCTTTCAGGTTCAAGTTCAACATTATTACGTTATGTTTTAACAGTTGATATTTACAGCCTCTATCCATAACGCGTGTGTTATTTCTCACAAACATTGAACGAACTGTCAGATTAGCAGCACGTGCTAACAAGTTTAAGCGCAACCCTGCCCAACAAACTCTGACACGTCCAAACTTCACAAGTGACTTTAGTGCGATTAAAAATAAATCTTAATAACAAGGGTGCGAATTTGCAAGTGATGATACCTATGTCTATAGCGAACCTCTTGGCGTTCTCCAAATTGCGGAAAATTTCATCTGGAGGGAGTATAATGCTCTTATCCATTCTGTGGGATCCTCTATCAGTCCCTCCAGACAGCGCCATCTTACTCTAAATCGGCGAGAAACTGTTCATCTTAAACCAAGCTTAAGATGATACCGCCACCTACTGTGATGGAGTGTAAAACAAAGATCGTTTCTCAAAGTTGCTATGAATTATATTTTACATATACTAACACATGTCATACCCTTATTTGTTCACTGCATTTGACCCATGATTTAAAATCATGCTTAATGTAAATTCAAATTACACAATTTCTTAGCAACTTTTTATTTAGACATTCTTTCCCCTTATGGATTTTTTTTAACTGTCAGTGGATCAAAGGATTTTCAACCAGTTTGACATTAACGTATTGAAAGGTCCACTCTTACAAAAATTTACGTGGTAAACAATTAAAAGTACAACACAAAAATTACGTGATAATTGTGTAGCAAATTTGTTGAATGTGTGGCTCATTTTGAAGCTCAAAATGCAACAACAAGGACCCTGCACATTTGGCCACCTTAAGACTTGTTTGCTGCAAGAATGGGACAAAAGTACACCCAAAATACTTCATAACTTGGTGTCCTCAGTCCCTAAAGTTATTTTAAGTGTTGTGAACAGTAACAGCAACATTACAAAGTGGTAAATATGGCGTTTCTGTTCCAAATCATTTGAAATGTGTTTCAAGAATCAAAATTGGAATAAACGTTCATTTAAAAAAAAACAAATGAAAAAAAAAACAAGAGAAACATTAAAATTTTGTCATATTTTCTGCAATGAAATACAAGTCAAAGTAAATTTAGAGATGACTAATTTTTTTTTTTTTTTTTGCATTCTACATACTGTCCCAATTTATTTTTTCTGATTTGTGGATGTATATATATTCACTCATGGAAGGTAAATATTAATAAGATCATAAATATATATATTTTTTTACATAAAAATATAGTACTTTTAAAGGTATATATAAAAATCACACACACACACACACACACACACACACACACACACACACACACACACACACACACACACACACACACACACACACACACACACACACACACACACACACACACTAATATATATATATATATATATATATATATATATATATATATATATATATATATATATATATATTAGAGCTGCCAATCGATTAAAAAAAAAAACTAATTAATCGCACTTCTAAAAAAAATTAATCGCGATTAATCGCATTTAAAAGACTGAAACTTGTAATTTTGTCTATTCGAGTGTAAAATTAATGTAAACGCAAGACAAATACTATTTAAATTCAAAATATAATTCATTATAAGAATTTTTTGTTTACTTGTAACACAGATTTCTTCATGTAAACAACATACCCACAATTAACCATCAAGATCCTGGCTTGACAGCCATATTTATTACAGAAATAAAAACACAGGCATGTTAAAGCCATTTGAATTTCAAAACAATCAATGACAATAAAGAAACCATTGATTTCCATATTGGATTCTAAGGGGACTGCACAAAAATGCCAAAATACAGAAATTGCAAATATGGAAAATTATATTAATAATAATAAAGTATTGAAAATCTGTGCATGCCCTTGAATAGGTTTACCCACTCTCATTCTATAAAAGGACAAAAGCCATATAAAGGAAATAACGAGAGTTGACAAATTAAAAAAACTACATTTTTTTATTTATTATTAAAATAAAATTATAATCCACACTGGAAATGTGGGTGCCTGTGTGTTTTGAGGGGGCCTAGAAAATAATGAGCATAACAAAAACTGCCTGCTGACGCACACAGTTAATGTTGATTAATAAAATAAAGATAAATAATAAAAGCAATGTATCAGAGACCCTTAAAAAACATGTTTAACTCAACAATAAAACATCAAACGTAGCTAACAGCTTTTACATTGTCAATCAAATGAACTTAAACAATTAAAAAATGCAACAAATATTTGTTTGGGCAGAACTACAAAAACAAATGTAAAAAAAAGTTGCTTAAGTTGCACACTAGTTTGGTCATGTATAAATATCATTATATTAACCATATTGTATAAATATTATTGTCACTATAAGCCTACATCATGCTGACGATCAAAAACACTGTCATGATATCTCCAGCGCTTGTCTTCTGACCGAGTGCATCTTAAAATACATGAATGGCACCCTTCATAAAAATTGAGAAGCAGACATTTTTTATAATTTGTAAAATAAAGACTTGCAGGTTCAGGAAACAGCAGGAGGAAGTTGCCGCGGCTATGGTGCAGATTAAAAGTTAAAAAAAAAGTATATGTATAAGGACAGATAGGTAACTAGATAGAATAGACAGGAATAATCGTGATTAATCATATTCAAAAGACTGAAACTTGTAATTTTGGCTATTCAAATGTAAAATTAATGTAAACACAAGACAAAAAACTATTTATATTCAAAATATAATTGTTTATAAAGTAGAAACAATTTTGTTTAGTCCTTCTTTACATTCAGCCAGTTGCTAAATAAGTCCAGTCTGGAGCAGGGGCACTTTAGATCATTTTGGAAGGGCACTTTCTATCCAAGACTAAAAGGGCATGTGCATTGCACAGGTTGAGCCCTATGTGTGCATGTGCCTGGTCTACCATGTAAGCACTAAGCAGCGATTTTTGATTACCTTAAAGGACCACCGAGTCACGAAATGCGAAGGTTTTTCTTTCTGTTCGCCATGCGGTATCAAATTCCATTAAAACAGAAGTCGAAAGTTAAAAATGAAACACCCAAAATTGCATGAAACACTGGAGGAAACCCTGGAGAGCCTGGTAATGCGACATTGTTTTATACTGAAACTTGCTAAAAAAGTGATTCCTTGATCTTATCCAAATTTCTTTGCATGTTAAGCACACATCGACCACAACACAAAAAAACCTGCTACTGCGTTAACTGCGTTCAAATTAATCGCATGCGTTAATGCACTAATTTTGACAGTACTAATATATATATATATATATATATATATATATATATATATATATATATATATATATATATATACACACACACACACACACACACACACACACACACACACACACACACACACACACACACACATCTTTAATAAGCTATATAATAAAAACGTTAATTTATAGATTTGATTTTATGAAACACAGTGTAATCAATTCAATTAAAGTTTATTTTCATAGTGTTTTACATATATTTTGAATATAATTTATACAACATTTTTAAACAATATCAGGGCTTAAAATGTAATGTGCTTGAGTGTTAAATAAAACGCATTATTATTAATATTTTATTATCAATGAGAGCTCAAGCAAGCATAAGTGAAAACACCAGATGGCGGTAATGCATTGAGATGCAACTTGCCATAAAAAGAAGAAGAAGATTCCACCAGACACCGGAAGATGTCATGATAGTAAGTGATCTAAAAAATCGCCGTGCCATCTCGCTCTAGAGCCTTGAGTAGAAAAGTGACAGCTCCGTTACGTGAGGGGCTCGACAGGTATCACTGAGGGCAGCACGTGGGAGTTTTTCAATTCCCAAAGCTAGTTTCTTGTCCGAGGCTCTTTCGTGGAATGACCCAGTCCGCTGGAGGGGTTGAGGATAACTCCAGCTGAATAAGCTAAAGTTCGTCGGGTTTATTCTGGCCGGTGTGTGAAGGTAGGTAGCTAAACAAGCGCGCTAACAGACACTATCATGAGGACCATTAATTCGCACAATAAATTCATTAGTTTTAAGCAAGATATATTGTGTGTAATGGGACTCTATTTGCCATATTCCCTTCCAATAGTATGTTGTGTTTTGAATTAAAAAGTGATGCTGAGTGGTTTTAATTGGCTTCAGTCGTCTTAGCATATTAGCCTAAGTAAGGAGTGAAGTTCATCACGTCAAAAGCTGACAAAATCAAGCGCCTATTGGCTATATTACCTGACACTGTTTTTATACTAGTTATTTTTTGTCACTGCAAACAATTAAATCATATGTAAATAACTTGAACATTCTATATATGTTCACATACTATTGAATAATAGTAATGTATTAATTCCTTAAAACCACATGCCCAAAGTTAACAATTTAGTCAAGTCAATGTTTTACGTTCTTTATCACATACTACTACCTTATGAGGTTTAGCTTGTGTGGATCTGTTTACTAACTTACTACAAACTGTAGCTGCTTTTTTTACAGGTTTAGCGATGAAGCTTTGAGTTTTCTTTACAGTGAAATATTTGTGCAATGCTTCCTTTAAGTGACTAGTTCACATGTATTGATAAACGACTATGCATGTGTGGCTTACTCCTGTTAAAATAGGATAAGCCTCACTCATACGATTCAGGCTTCGTGTGTTAACAAAACCAATCTGTTTAAAACTAGTGTTTAACCAAATGTTGTACTTGCAGTAATCTTTGAAGTCATTTTTCTTCCCTTTTATTTGTTGTTTTTCCAGATTTTTTTGATAATTATTGCATTATTTCTCATTGGCATTCTTTTCTGTTAGGGAACCATGGGTATGTGTTCAGTAGTAAATCCCTGTCTTTATTCAGATTAGTAAATGTAATAAATGTGTTTACTTTTTCACATGCTTTCAAATAGGGCTGCACTATATATAATTTTAGCATTGACATCGTAATGTGCGCATCTGCAATAGTCACATTACAAGATATGCAATGTTAAGTCTGAACTAATGTTGACCAGGAGCTAAAGAATTGTATTTAATTACTGCATTTTTAGAATTTTTGTATTACCTAGAATTTTTGTCTTGTTTTTAGTTCAGATGTACATTTTAAAGCATAAACAAGATTGTTTACACCACTGGTACATAGTTTTTTTTTTTCATGGAAATGCTTTTAGTTTATTTATTTATCTTTTTTTAAATATTTTTTTATAGATTGGATTTAACTTAATTGTCATTACAGTTTAGGTCTAACCAGGAGTGCAATAGCACAAGTGCAGGGTATAAGTTATAAAGTGCAATTTTAGAAAAACTATGGGTAATATTTTTAGATGGATGTTCTACAAACATTATACACAGGTTGTATGAACTATGATCAGAGATATTCAGTAGATTAATATATGTACAGGTTGATATTAATAATCAAAGAAATGCAGATAGATATGAACATAATTACAAATGTATATGTGCAGTGGATATGTACAATTCAAGAATTATTAGTTCAACAAAGTGCAATGAACATGTACAGTTTTGAATATGCAAATATTACATTGTGCAGGGATTATAGAGCGTATAAGTTATAGGGAGAGCGTAGGGATTCACGAAAGGGGCCAAAAGAGTCAGCTCTACGCAGACAGTGTTTCTTCTGGATGTCCTCAATGGCTGGAAGTTGGGTCCCTGTGATGTGTTGGGCAGTTTTAACCACCCGCTGCAGTGCCTTACGCTCAGCAACAAAGCAGCTTCCATACCAGACTGTGACGCAGTTGGTTAGAATGCTCTTTATTACGCAGTGATATAAGTTCACCAGGACTGCTGAGGACAGCTGTTTTTTTATGTTGCCTTAAAAGTGCTGTAGTTCATCTGCCACAATGCTAATGGGTTAGCATAATATCTTTGAAACACAGTGTCTGCGTCCAAAAATGCCTAATACTCGGTATGTACTGCATTTAAATTTAAACATACTATTCTTCCGTTACAAAAATACGTTCTATACAGTATGAATGTGATCAGTATAAATGGAACTCGTACGTGCTACATCTGCTATTTTGTCATGGTCATGTGACCTACCTGCGGCAGTTGTTGCATCATGGGATAGCGCAGTGTGCATCGGATGCGCAGTTCAGAATCTTGCATCCTGAATTCTAATCTGTACATACTACTTGGCTCACATACTGATTTTAGCATATTATGTAGTATGGAAGTATGTGTTTCAGACCCAGCCAGTCCCTCCTCTGATGTCCAAAGCATGTCTCCTGAAACACGAACGCACACACCTTAAAGATGACAGTAGACAACCCACTAGTTCATTTGCCAGTTAGAAATCTTAAAAAGTACTTTATAATACTATAATTCTAAACAAAAAAATTGTATTTAGCACTTTTTCAGTTATGTAGTTAGCAATCAAAACTTGTCTTAATGTGTTAGATGTCATGCATGCAAAGATTGCTGTCTCACTCTGTCACACTGTCCTAAAGCAACTACTGTATGTTTAGTGGTTGGCCAGCAGCGTGCAGGAATAACACTTATTACAGCCAAACTTGCATGCTATTTCAGACAGAATATTTAGGCCCAATCCCAATTCTATTTTTGTACCCCTACCCCTTCGCCTTGGCCCTTACAACCGAGGGTTAAGGGGAAGAGCTTAGAATTGGGACAGCACTACAGCACCTGCACACGTCATCATATGTCCTCACGATTTCTCGCTTTATATAAATTCAGACAATCGCGACTGCTGGATTGATTCCAGTTGTGTTATTTTTTTTGTATTTATCTTCAGGAAATCACTGAAGGCATATATTATGTTATCATAATGATCTAGAGTGGCAATAAGATCGTAATACTTTGCATTTAACACAGTGGCCATATTCATTTATGTAAACCAGGTGTGACCAACCCTGTTCCTGGAGATCAACTTCCCTGCAGATTTCAGTTGCAACCAATCGGCAACCTCCCGCTCTCTTTCGGGAAGCCAATACGGAAGTAACTAAAACTGCAATTCATCCGAAATTCCGCTAGTACTGGCCGCTCCTGGCTCCATAAAAGAGCAAATTTCAATTGAGCCCACTGTTAGAATGGCCAACTTTACAGCAGAAAAAAAGGTGTTTACAGCCTGGTACAAAAAAAGATTTTGGTTAATACAGCTTATATTACCCTTCATGACAACTGTGAGGGGGTGATTTTTTTATAACTCATCCGTTTCCTTTATATTAGGCTATATTAAGTTTGTATAATTAAGGGAGTGGCCACTTGAGTGACAGCTAGGTCTAGTTGGTCGCCGTCACTTCACCTCAGCTGACTTCGGCAGATTAGCCACTGATCTCGGCATATTTATCGTATTTCTGTGTTGTTTTATGTAGCTTTACACAGTCAACTGCCTTTTGAACTTGTTTCCTACAATTATCATATGGCATGGCATGCTGTGTGCACTTAATTGTGTTCACAAACCATTCATGTGGACTCCGTTTCCCATGTGAGTAAAGTTATATACTTGTATACCATCTCTATATATGTATTTGTTTTATTTAAGATAGTTTATCGTTTATATTTATATTTAGAGCTGTAATGCACTCCAGAATCTGACAGATTGATGAGCTGTAGGCTCTAGAACAGTCATCTGAAACAATGTCATACAGTGTTATGCTGGATTTCATCAATAGCCTTGCATTTACTAACACAGACTATATCTAAAGGGTTTGGAAGTAATTCGCGTTTTCCTCCTGTTGAAAAACGTCATAAGAACAATACTTAGTGGCTCTGTGTATTACTACAGTGTTTTTAAAAGTCTAAACACTTTATTGATATAGTGTACAACCAAGCATAAGTGATCAGAACACAAACGAGTCACAGGTAATAAAGTATTAAGCGTTCTCCCAAAGTAAAATGTGTCTGAACCAGGTCCAAACAAACTGCCAGCAAGTGTCCGTAGCTCTGCTCACTCTCCGCCTCTTTGCCCTTGTTTGGTATCCCGCCGTGAGTGCGATGACGTGCAAACAAAATGGCGACGGTTGACCGCGCCTACTTGTGGCTTCTTTTGCGCTCTTCAGAAACCTGTGGGTGACGTCACGGATACTACGTCCATATATTTTACAGTCTATGGTCGCAACCCATATCAATTACACCTGCTTGTAATTATCAAGTGCTGTTCAGGTCCTAATTAATTGGTTCAGGTGTGTTTGATCAGGTTTGGAGCTAAACTTTGCAGGAAGGTTGATCTCCAGGAACAGGGTTGAGCACCACTGATGTAAACGCACCAAAAACAGCATTACAATTATAGCAGACACTGTAAAAAGCTCATTGACAGCCACTAAACTTTTCTGGTGTTCCAGTGTCATTGAGTGTCAAAGTTGTGGGACTGCTGTACAGGAGTTATGATTAGGGATTATAGCTTGCAAATAGATTGCGAAATTTAGCGTTTTTTATTTTAGCATTTTTTTTTTTAAAAAAAGCATGACGGTAAAACATGAACGCGGTTATAAATATATTACAACATGTGTTTGTTTGTGGTAAAAATTCGTAATAATGACAAAAAAATACTAATTTGTGGATCTCCTTACTTCCGGATGCAGCTGGAGCTAGTGTAATCTGTACCTCTCAAGCTCTATCAGGTTGGACAGGATGCGACAATGTACAGCCATTTTCAGATCTCTCCGGAGATGTCTGGGCTCTGGCTTGGCCACTCAAGGACGTTTACCAAGTTGTTGTGAAGCCACTCCATTGATATTGTGCTTTAGGTCATTGTCCTGCTGAAAAAAACATCCCCAAAGCATGATGGTGGCACCACCATGATGAGCCTTGCCTGGTTTTCTCCAAACGTAACGCCTAGCATTTACTCCAAAGAGTTCAATTTTAGTCTCATCAAACCAGAGAACTTTGTTTCTAATGGTCTGAGAGTCCTTTAGATATCTTTTGGCAAATTCCAGTCAAGGAGTTGCTTCTGTCTGGCTACTCTATCATACAGGCCTGATTGGTGGATTGCTGCACAGATGGTTGT